TTGCAGCTCTAAGTCTGTCAGCCAATGGCAGATTTGAAACTTTTACTGTGGCATTATCTCTCCACCTTGTGAGAATGAAATGGCCTATAACTTTTAACAAATAATTTACTTTTAAATTAACAACATATAACCAATTTGTATTTTCTTTATTCCATCTTTTTTGCTGGTCAGCAGTCACTTGACAATGACCATGTCATTATTGTAGGCGATCAAAATAGCAGAAGTAGGAATGCATATGTATGCCAAGACCAACTGCTAAGTGGATGTCACTTGAGCTTGAGTTACATGTTTCTTGACATCACCAGCACCTTTCTCAGTAGCCTAGCAATCTCCAGCAACACTGTCGCATGGACACTCTTAAATCTGGTTCAAGATTCTAATTTGTTTTTCTTAATTTAATCTCACTATTTACATTATTCGGACTATTGTCCTCATCTTTGGCGCCATATTTATTACAACGTTTCGGCAGTTGTACGCCCTGGCCTTCTTCAGGTGGTTGGAATGTCGAACTGAACCCATTATTTCGCTCACTGGCGTAGATTGTTGTAGTTCCTTTATCCACTGTGCTACGTGTCCTCAGTGGATAAAGGCGTTGGTTAGATCCTGTGACAGGACCCAAAGAGTGTGAGTTCAATACCCGGTTAAGACAATGGAGAACTTGGAGAGGGGAATTAACAAGAGATAACTGATAACTGACATCCATTAAACATGGCACGTGTAACTAGAACAGTCTACCCCTAGTGAGCGAAATAAAGGGTTCGGTTCGATACTCCATCCTGAAGAAGGCCGGGGCGTAGAACGGCCGAAACGTTGTAATAAATATGGCAACAAAGATGAGGACAATAATCCGAATAATGTAAAAAGTGTACATAATACTTCATCTCAGAAATGTAGACAGATACTAATTTAATCTCGCCTCTATTTTTTAAATTGTTTCCAATTACGCCAAATGATTGGGACTCGATGCTAAATTTTAGCGGATATTTTTTAATATATTTCTTTAGTTTTCATCTTTTAGTCTCTGTATAAAGAGATAAAAATCCAAGTCAGTCCAAACACATTAGCTATCACTAAATAGACTTTGAATTTTATTTAATTTCTCTCATTTTTGATAATGATTGAACCCACAACCTCCGAACCTTTAGCAAGAACAAACATGAACTGTAAACAGACCCTCTCGACCTTCACCAGCAAGAAACTAATCCGTCAACAAGAATAATTGATATGAAAATAACAACAATACCCTTTTTATTATCTTCAACAATCAGTATTATTTATTCATGTACATGTCTACATCATGTGGTGATGGTTGCTGGGGTAATCCTCCAATTTCCAGCAACTTCATCGACATTCCTGTTGGAAGGTGTCGTAGTTTGAGCTTTCTTAAACCTAATCTGAACTGCTCTTTCATTTTTCCCATGTCATGTGTTCTGACGAGCTACATTTCTTAGCTCCACTACCCCTGACATTTACATCTGGAATCTGCCATGCCCCATACACAAGAGTAGATCATCCCCATTCCCTTCCTATTCCAATAGTAAGTAGTAAATCCATTCGAATAGCTTCTCAAGAACTGATGCTTTGTGGAACAGACTCCCGACAGAACGCTTTCCCAATTAATATATTCCTAGCCTATTTAAGTCTAAGATTAATCGTTATCTTTCCTGCATAACCGCAGGAACTTCACTTTTTTTTATCTTTTACTCCCATACAACACTACATAGTAACTACCTTCAATGGTTTTTAATATTAATATTCAACCAATACAATTCGTTGAATATTAACAAAATTTCAGTAATTCTAATATTGCTTTATTTCGAGTTTTTTCTTTCCTTTTCTCGCTCTATGTCTACCAGAACAGCCACATTCATCATAAAACGGATTCTAACCCCCCATCAAAATAAACAAGTCTAGAATGAACTAACCTATCTCTATTTTGCTGATTATTTTCTAGGACAGCTTTTGTTTTTTGCAAAGTCTATTTATCAATTATTATTTAGTACCTAAAATAATGGACCCCTATTTCCGACTCAGGGAACTTCTCTAGTTTTTATTTCTCGGAAAACAATAGCAAGCGCATTCCTGTTGTTCTTGTTGTTCTTCTTCTTCGTCTTCCATGTCCCGTGTCCCTTCAGGACTTTGGCGATCATAGCTCACCAGCATTTCCTGTTGTTTGTAGCTCTTAATAAATGTCTTTTTTTATCTCTCCTAAATCCTGTTCTTCCATAAAAGCGTAAACTGAAAACAGTGGTGATATTTCTGCAGCCAAGTCTCTCCAAATGTAAGCTTTAGTTTGGTTCGGTTTGTTTTGTTTTACGGCATATCAACCTCAATGTGTTATTCAATGCCAACAACTTTTTTTTCCTGGTAATATTTTGTTTGTCAAAAATCTATTTCTGGTAATCTTTTCTTTTTTTGTCAAAAATGTATAGCTGGTAATATTATTTTTAAAAAAATGTATTGCTGGTAATATTTTTTTTTTTCAAAAACTTATTGCTGGTAATATTTTTTTCCAAAATATATTACCGGTAATAGTTTTTTTCATTCAAAAATTTATTTCTGGTAATAATTTTTTACAAAGTATTTCTTCTATTAAAACCTATTTTTACACTTCCATAATGCTTTTTAAGCAACTGCCCACAGCTGGGACCCTAACAGGTGCCACCACCTCGGGTCAGGGCGGACCCGGGAACACCAGCAACCACCCTCCTCAAAGCCTTCCAATCAGAAACCTTGCTGTTGGACGCAGTTTATCGTCTTACCCTGGACTCGGATGTAGTTATCTTCATACCCAGGACGGTCCAAATGTAAGGGTTAAATTGGTTGTAACTGTCACGGTTCAATAAATTGTAATGAATTTATTTAGATAGCCTCGTGACTTTGTAGATGCTTATAATGTCAAACGTGTACTCAATGAAACTGTTATTACTTGCTGATAGAGTGAGGCATTATATAGCCTATCACAAGTTTGGTTGCCGAGACTACTGGCGGCTCTGCAAGACTGTGTTAAGTAAGTCCTCAATTCCTACTCTCTTCAATCAATTTGAAGTGTTATCATTTCTTGCCTATAAAGCAGAATGTTTTGCTCGTAAATTCTCTTCCAATTCTACTCTCAATTCAACCGGAGTAACTTTGCCTGATTTTTTTTCTTTTTTGCTACAACTGTGATATGCATACAACTTCATCCATGATTTTCGCTATCATCTCCGAACAACACCCAACAAAGCATATGAACTCGACGGTATCCCTGAAAAGGTTGCTCTGCCACTGTTCTCTAAAAGACGCATTGATGTTTCTTGCTTTCCAGCCTGTGTCCTCTTCTGTAGTTGCTGTTTCAAGAACTCCGGTGAACAGCCTGATCCTTTGAACTATCGACCTATTAGCCTTCGATTTATTATTGGAAATGAACGAGAGGCTCCAATCAACTCTGAATTTGTTAAGTATCTCAGCATGCAGGGTCTTCTTTTGGACAAACAATATGACTTTTGCATTTCGAGGTCAACCGGGTTGATGGTTATTACTGAAAGTACCAATTTCTGCTCACCTTTAGATAAGAATGGCGAAGCTCGGGCTGTTGCTTTACATGTCTCGAAGACATTTGACAGGGTTTGGCAACCTAGTCTACTCAAGTTTCTTTCTCATCAAAATGCGTAATGAAAATTGACTTGAACGGCCACTCTTCTAGATCTCTATGCATTCATGAAGATCTCCCCAGGTCTCTTAGTTCCTTTTTTTCATCAGCCACCTTCCTGAATCGGCTTCTATGCTGATGACACAACTATTTACTCCTATCTTAATAGTAAGTTTGACAGGTTCGATAAAATCAAATTGGCAGCTGATCGCAAAAATGACCGTAGATCTAAGAGGATCGGCTGAAAAGTTCATAGGTTGATTATGAAGGTGTGATTCTAGAGCTGTGAAATACATTACTTTCAACTTTTCTTATTAATAAATGCATTGTGTCTTTTCAGGTAAACTGATATCTGACAGTTCAAATAAGACTTCAAAAATAACTAGAAGTGACTTCTCTTGAAAGTGGACAGATTATAGCATCGTGAAGTTATCAAGTACCTGAGGAAAAAGTATGTATTAGTAGAAACAGTTGGTTGAACTAATACTGAAATAGAACGGAATAAAAGACAAGCGGATTCCACCTTATGGGTACAATATAACATTCATATACAATAAGCAAATATGAGAAAAAGTCATAATAAGTGGTATTAAAAATAAGTTGCCTACGTTGCAGAGTAAGTTATTACATAAGGGGAATAATAAACAAGGATAAATTTTGACAAAGGCTAGGAACATCCTTTTAATTAAATGGCAGATTGTTTCACCAAAGATATCTATGAGAAACCATAATCTCTAGAACCGGGAATGGATAGAATGCCTTCCAGTCAGGAACTGACTGTTGCTGACTATTTTTCCACTCGTTCGGCAATTTATATGTAAGAGCACTTCATTTCTACCATGTATAGGGTATTTTACAATAGAATATTCTATATATTTTTTAATTCATGAATTGGATGCGTGTGTTCCATGTATTTTATAAGTAAAATACACAGAACACACATGCAAGGTTTGAATTTGTAAAATCAGATTAACGAACTAATTCCTTTATCATGTTCACTCTTGCGACTGCTTCGTGCGATCTTGTTCTATTTCACAATATTAAAAAAAATCCTCGTTATTTCAACTCTTTTCAAACTCTAATTCTGTTCTTCTGTGATTCCCTTATTCTATGAATCTGATCTTGCTTTGCTTTATTTACTCCTATGTTAGTTACAGGTGTTTGTTTTACTTTTTTATATACATTTTCGTTATGTCAACTTTGTGTTTTATGACATGAAACTGTCTTTTTTGTTGTTTTTTTTTTTCTACTAATCCTTTTCAATTCTTATCTTCCTTATTATTGCATCCGACGTTTTCAAGTTATTCTGCGCACTTGTTTTTCAGATTCCAACTGTGGAGCATTGTTTTCCCAGTTTTCATCTTCCTAGCTTTCTCTGTTTTCTACTTTTTCATTAAAGAAATCTCCCTTTCCCTCTCTCTCTCTCTCTCTCTCTCTCTCTCTCTTCACTACTACCTTTCTCTTCCTGTTAATTTTTTTCATCTTTTTTATTTTGCGATTTCTTCTTCATCTCTTCTTTTTTTCTTCTTTTTTCTTCTTCTTCTTCACCATAGTCCTTATTATTTTCTGTCTTCATTCACTCCTCCCCCTCAAAACCCCTCTCCTCAAACTCCTCCTCATCGTCATCATCATCATCCTTCTTCTTCTTCCCCATGGTTTTCTGTCTCCGTTCAGTCATCCACTTCCTACTCCTTCTCTTCATCATCGTCATGCTTCTTCTTCATCATCATCATGGTCCTTCCTTATTTTCTCTCTTCACTCTTAATCCTCCTGCACCTATTCCTACTCCCTCTTCACATGCTTATTGTTTTCTGTTTTCGTTCACTCTTTCTCCTTCTTTTTCACCAAGAGCCTTCCGTATTGTTTTCTGTCTTCATTCATTATCTTTCTTCTTTTCTTTTTCTTCTTCTTACTCTTCTTTTTCTTCTTCTTTCCTCATCGCTTTCTGTCTCCTAATCTATTTCTTCCTCCTTCTTGTTACTCTTATTCTTCTGTCCTTCCTTTTTGACTTTTTCGACAACTTCCTCCTTCCGGTTACCTCTGTACTTCTTCTTCTTCCACTCTTCCTCTTCTTTTCATTTTTCCAAACGTTCATTCCAGTTCTTTCATATTTTCCTTTATTCCACTTATGAACATTTCCCGCCTTCACTGTTCTCTGATGCGCCATGTTGAAAACGATGAAATTATCAAATATTCCTCGTGCTTATCCTCATTTCCTGGTGACGTTTTTGCTGCCAAATCTGTCGACCGCATCTAATCGATCGTTATTCCAGCAATTGGACACTAATTGTATTAGGGCACCTTTCAATTGCAAGTCCAATCTAAGAGATTAACATTCTGATCAAATTAGGCGCCGGACGTTCAATCTCCTATATGGAAATCATAGAAAGAGAAATACGGATTAGTTATTCCGTTACCACCAATGCACTTGCTGCTCAGGGCGCACAAGAATAGGAGGGAAACTGTATAAGCGCTCAGAAGTGAAAGCGTGCACACACATACATATATATATATATATATATATATATATATATATATATATATGGGGAAGGATTTGTGTGTTTGTGTGTATGCGCTCAGCAGGATGATAAAATAAACGCAAGATGGAATATGCAATATGGATACTCACAATAAAGAATGACACAGGCATACACTCAGATACATATAGATTAATATATATCTACACATAAAAATATATCAGTTGATACATATCAGTTGGCTGGATGATTTTGTTTAGCGGCATATTAACCTCTATGGGATATTTAATGTCGAAATCTAAATATTTTGAACACCGCTTTATGGCTTCAACTAGAAAATGCATTGTTGATGTTTTTGCTATAAAATACATTGTTGGTTATTCTACTATAAAATGATTTGTTGGTCATTTTGCTTTAAAAATGTATTGTTGTTAATTTTACCATAAATATGTATTGTTAATATTCTTTTATATAAAAATGCATTGTTGGCATCTTCATTAAAAATGTATTCTTCTACTTTCATAGAGTTTTCTTTAGAGCTTCACTCGTTGTCCATAGCTGGGACCCTAACAGATGCTACCCCTCCGATACATATAAGCACACAAACAATACGAATATATTACCCACAAAGATAGCATAAGTAGGATACAGAATGACTGACCTTAGATTTGAAGAGGTTAAAATTACAGTGTCAAGGGAAGTAATCAAGAGGATCTCTATTTCATAGCAGTTCTTTGCGGAAAGTCGCCTCAGTGGATCTTCTTGCTTACAACTGGAAGACGGAAGAAACGAGAGTGATTCGACTCCGTGGACGCACCATGGCATATCATAGATGTAAAGTTCTGACTGGGTAGAACTAAAAAAATTAAGCATTTGCTATATAAATAGCCATAGTGTAGCGATAGGCTTGTGACTTTGCGTTACAGCAGTGTGCCGCGATCTCTTAAGTGTGCCGCGCGATCCTATTAAGTGTGCCGCGAAATATTGTTACGGAATAAAAATATATGTGTGTGTGGAAGTAGTAATGGTTAGTATTTGAATAAATGAATAAGTGTTAAACGTTTTACTTCACATTAGCTAATAAGCCTTTATCGGTTTTATTACAAATTTCTATTCTTATTTATATGAATTAGGCTTCTCAACGCTAAACAGTATTAAAAATAAGAAGCGAGAAAGACTATGCTAAACTGAAGAAGAAATGAAGATCTGCTTATCGCACATTCGACCAAACATCGAAGAAATAGCGAAAAAACACAGGCACATGTTTCACACTTAATAAGCTGCAATTTTTTTTTAAATAGAAACATTGAAATAAAGTTCATATTTGTGTAAGTACTTTTTAGAAATCGATGGTTTTATTTCATAACATTTAAATGTATACCCTTTTAAAATCATGCTAAGTGTCCCATAGTATTTTCATTTGCTCTTAAATGTGCCGTTGTTTAAAAACGTTGAGAAACACTGTGTTAGAGAGAAAGACAATACACAGTGAAAAAATACAAGACTGTGGAAGCGATTTTAAACTCTATCAAACTCGCGTCTCTTCTTTAAACTTTATTTTAATGTATACTCATTTAAGGGAAAACCTGATCGTCATAGATCCTTCAAAATTATCATATCTGCTCAGTGTCGTAACCAAACGTAAACAAAGTAATTTTCTAAACAAGTAATATTGTTTTTATTTATTAATCTGACTGATTTTTATCCCTTTTAAATTTATCTGAAAGTATCCATTAAAATAACGTTTAAAGTGATAAAGGCACTGTTGACACTTGGCTTGATCGGCCAAGCTTCTTCGAAGTTGATTAAGGCACAGTGGATCTAACGACCGTTGCCAGGGGGGACGCCGGAGTGCCCATATCTCTTCTTTTTTTTTTTTAAATAAGATTTCTCGAATATTCAGGCTGGTAAGCGGAAATAAATAAATATACTGTTTAATAATTAAACGGAGCATTTATTCAACTATGTTGGGAATCATGTAGCAATGTACTTCATTAAATGTTCATCTCTGGTACTTGTTTTCCTTGGATGTCAACTCTCGTCTCGTCGCTAAATGTGTGATTGTGAAAATTCACGGTAGCAATGTCCACGACTGTTTTGCTGCAACTTACTTTTGCACTGATTTCGTATTCAAAATAATCTTCGTAGCTTAGAACCCCAATTTAGTTCCTTCGTGTTGCTGAAAAGGATTATTTTTTTCTCCATATTCTCAACCTAATTCCCTACGCAAATACTATCCCAATGGCTGTTAATTTGGCAATGACAAAACCTTTTTACCATAAACCCTGTGTGAATAATGGCTGATACACTAACAAAAAGCTATTGTATAATGGAATCTAATATGATACAAGAAAAGAAAACCTTTCCACGGTTGAGTAGTCTTAAACTTTTATTTATCCCTGTAGTTGGCAGAGGGGTCAACAGTAAAACCGTTAAAAGATATCAATCTACATCACTCAGTGGAGATCAGTTGTGTTAATGGTAACGTTAATATTAAAGGAAACATTTGGCATTCATTGATCGTGCAGCCAGTGTTATTGTCGTTTGAAATTCATAAGATCTTTCTATTAAAAGTTTTTCAGGAAAATATGTTTTTCAAGTCCACTGTTATCACTCTTTCTAATAATGATGGAGATTTCCTCCCTAACCTTTTGTTTAAAGTAGTGTGGAACGTTAACGTCTTGATTATGTCATTATTTTCTTTTCGAGTTACATATATCTATTTTGGTTGTTACTTGTTGGAAGTCTTCAAGTGATGTAGTTTCTGTTATTTAGCACAATCCTTTGTTTGTGATTCTGTAGCGCTAGTCCACAATGTTTGAAGATGGCTGGACCTCGCTATGACCTACAAGCTTCGTATGAGTTAAAAAAAACAGTGTATCTGAATAAATGGATGTCACTCAAGTCTCAACAGTTTAATATTAAGATTGAATTTAGTTTCATTTCCTGTCAATCAATATTAGTAGCAGTAGTAATAGTAGCATTTTATTAACCGTTAAACTCGCATTCGGCTAGTTTAACGGTTAATAGAAACGGAAATGGAATAAGGTTTAAATTGTTGGTGTTGCATTATGCTCTTGAGACAAGGCTTAAACGCATCTCTTCAACCTTGACACTATGCGCGAAATAGCTAGGCAGACTCTACTCTTTGAACCTGGTTGGCGACCAGTCTAGGAGAAAGATAACTAAGAATTACTGGCTGTGGAGGAGACAACTGGAAACAGTAATCATAATAAAGCACGAATATCATAAATGTTAAACATGATAGCTGATCGCCTAGATTCTAAAGTTATGCTTCTCAAACTTTGTTTTTTGATCTATGGACGACTTTTACTCTTAATTTCTTGGTGGACTCCCATAACCATTCGATGAAAAAAAACTTATTTTATTTTTATTAATAAATAAATTTAGGAATTGTATTATAGAAATAGCAAATGTATATGCTTAATTTTGAAGTAAGACTAATGAAAATAAACAAAATCAAACCAAATTATATAGAACATCGACATTAGTATATATATATATATATATATATATATATATATATATATATATATATATATATTTAGTTTATTCAAATTTAGGTAATCCGTATGGATAGACCTGAGGAGGATGATATCCAGAGAGCTCAATGTAAGATTCAGAGCATATATGTTTGAATAAAAGACAGACCACGTTAAGATTCCATGTAATAAGCTATTTCACCATAACCCCTTTAACAGGGTTCTGGATCATCAGACTTTACTTCCAAAAGCTGAAATGAAGAATGAAAAGAAAATTCACGGGTTTTTTACGGACCTCATCAAGTATACGCAAAGTTAACGAAGTGAGGAAGTGAGGTGGGAGAGAGGATGTGAGTGTGTCATATGTATCATTTTAGTTTTCTATTTTAACCCCAGTGTGTCGGCTGGATGTTGCTCTAATCTAACGCGTCTCGTCTCTAGATAAAGGTGGTTAAGGGGTGGGCGATAAAGGCTACATTGAGGAAGACGCGTTATAACAGCCCCAATAAATATATATATAGGCCCTCAGAGGGGAGTGTTTTGTCGGAAATTGCCCCATCTACTGAAGAGGCTAATACTATTAATCTTTCTTTTACGTATAATCCTTATATGCTTAATATATTAAATTAATTTAATTATTAGTATTTTATTTTTTATATTTTATATTAATTTGTATTAATTTATATTAATATTTTATATTTTATTTTATTTATATTAAAATTATAATTATTATTTATTATTAATATATTAAATTAAGTTATATAGTAAATTATAATCTTTATATAATTTCCCTTTATATATATAACCCTTCCTTTATATATCCTTCATCTTTATTATTCAACTCTCACAATCGAAACATCCGGTAAAGTAAAATGGACGCTGATATCGCTTGATCTCGTTTCCTACAAGTTGTTTTTTTTTATTTTTTTATTTTGTTTTGCATTTTAATATGGCGTAGATTACTGTAGAAATTCAAATTCTCAGTTCTAACGACCGTTCCAAAGTGAAATTTCTCTATGGACCATATTACCGTGGACCCCCAATTTGCTATTTTTGTGCCCCCCCCACCAGTAATGCTATGGACACCGGTTGAAAACCACTGTTCTAAAGGGATATAGCATTTAAAAGTACAGTAGTGGCATTAGTTTCTTC